AATATGTCATCAACGTATCTAAAATATGCAATTAATTTGGTGCTTTATTAGGATGGGATATATTTGAGTGTGCTCCATATGTTGTATGTATGTTTCTGCCAGTATTGATGATGTTGGTGCTCCTACTGCTAGTCCGTCTGTTTGTTTGTAATATTCTTCGTCAAATTGGAAATAATTTTGTCCTATTATTGTATTTAACATTTCCATGATTTCTTTTTATATATTTGTTTCAGTTCCTAGATTTTCTAGTGTTTTATTTACAGGGTGGGGCACGCCAATTCGTAAGTGGGGGCATTTTCCAGTTGATTATAGGTCTAATAGGTGTGTTTTGTTTATGTAGTTTTATTGCAGCATGTAAGTTCGCGGCTATGGGATTCATGTTTGTGTATCTCCATCTGTGTTCCTTTAGTATGACGTTATTACAATGTTTTAGTGTTTGTTTTACGATTTTCTGGTATTCATTCATCCACTCATTCATTTATTTTAAACTTCCATGAATCCTCTCTGGTCACAATGTGCCTAGGATGCAGAACATGTCAGATTACTATATGTACTGTAATAACTAATTCAGGTAAATAGTTATCATTGTCACAATCATGTTGTAAAAACTAAATCATAATATATACAATTCAATAGCAGTCTAAAATATACAATTCATAAAATTGAAAAATTAGTATATAATAAAAATTCCATAGGTACAAACGTAAAATACTATTATTAATACCTTGTATTTAGTATTAGTTGTTAAAATTAATTTTTATACAGGATGGAAATTAAATTAACCATTTAAATAGCAGATGGACTATACATCCTTGTCTTCAGTATACTGATAATATTCATTCATTGAGTAAAAAGAATGTTGACATAAGAACCTCTTCAGTGTAGATTTAAAACTTATAACATTATTGGCTAAGGTCTTTATTGACTGAGGGAGGTGATTGTACACTTTGCTGCCTGTTATGTATGTTCCATTATTAAATTTTGCTGTTTTCACAGCAGGAACATGTAAGTCATCATGGGTTCGAGTTACATATTCGTAAATCTCATTATTGGAATTGAATATATGTTTGTTATTTATTATGAAGAGAATGAATATATATATATATATAGTGAATATAATGTCATTATTCCCAATTGCTTAAAGATATTCCTACAAGAATCCCTAGGTTTAGTGTTTGTTACGATTCTAATGATTTTCTTTTGTAAGACAAACACTTTCTTGGCATGAGAGGTGTTACCCCAGAAAATTATGCCATAACTCATGATAGAGTGAACACAGGCAAAGTAGATTAGCCTTAGCATTGGAAAGGTTACTATATATATATATATGTTGCGCAGTGCATAACATGTAGAAGTTAGTCTACTGATCATCAGATTTTTAAGCTGTTGCCAAGATAAAAAATCATCAATAGTTAAACCAAGGAACTTAGTTACTGTTGCACTTGGAATACTTTTCTGTTCATAACTGATGTAGGTCTCTGTATTGTAGCGTTCCGTGGTTCTAAACTCCATATATTGAGTTTTATTGAAATTTAGCTTAAGTAAATTAGCCTTAAACCAGGTGTTTATATCTTTAAAAGTTTGGTTAAGATTTATTTTATAGCCTAATTTATTGGGTTCTGTTATTATGATCCTAGTATCATCTGCATATAATACCATGCTATTATCTGTATTTATTGTTTTGGGAAGATCATTTATGTATAGCAAGAAAAGCAGGGGACCAAGAATCGAGCCCTGTGGTACTCCATATTTTACTTTCTCCCATCTAGATGAATTATCACTATCAGTTGTATGGCCCAGAGCAACTCTTTGCTGTCTGTCAGTCAAATAAGAATTGATTAGTGTTTAAAAAAAACCATGTACTCCATATAATTCAAGTTATTGTTGGGTTGGATCGATTTTTATCTTTTGAAACTGGTTATCTTGTATGAAACTTTTTACTTTCTCTTTGTATTCGTCTTGTGTTAATATTACTAGTGTTTTCCCTTTGTCTGCTTTAGTTATTATCAAATTTTTGTTAGAAATTTTGTTTTTTATGTTCATTATTTGTTTCCATTCATCTTTATTCTTTTTATAGTTTGTGTTATTATTCTTATTAATATTAATTAATATTAATTATCTTTTTTACTACAGCATGCCCATAATAATTTTGTTCTGTTATATGAAGGTTACTTATTGCTGTTTCAGCTTCAAGAGCTAATGTTTTGATCTAGTTTATTATTCTTTTGGTGTAAGTTATATTTCAAACCTTTATTTAATAATTGCATTTCTTTGTGTGTAAATTGTATGTTTGTGCGGTTTTCTACTCTAGTATAATTGGTGTTACTGTTTGTTTTTTTCTGTATTTTGGGTCTTAATCATGTGTGTTAATTTTTCTTGTTGTTTGAGGTACACTTTCTTCATATCTTGTAATTTTTTATTTATGGATTTTTCAATGTTATCCCATGTCTGTCGCCATATGTTTGCGTTGTGTATTTAATTGTTGTTTCTTTTTACATAGGAATTTTATTTCGTTTTTTATACGTAACATTTGGGCTTGTGTTTGTGTTCTCTTAGCTGCTTCATTGTTTATTGACAATTTCATAATTGCGTATTTTGGTACGAGTCTTCTTTTCAAACAGGTTTTGTTGAAATTTATGTTCGCATTACAGTGTAACAGTTTTCGTTTACAATTCATATAGCTATATATGCCTTTAGCATGACTACTATTTATGATTCTGCCCCCACTCACAAATTGGTTAAACAACTAGCAAAAACATTAAACAACTACTTACAATTACCAAATATATATAACGTTCATAATTCTATACAGCTAATGACAGACCTAAAAGACATCGCGCTCAATAAGAATATGAAACTTTGTTTATTTGATATAGAGAATATGTACACAAACATACCAAAAATGGGCATTAAAACATAATAAATAAAACACTAAAAAATCTAGGAACTGAAACAAATATACAAAAAGAAATCATGGAAGTGTTAAATACAATAACAGAACAATATTATTTCCAATATGACCAAGAATATTACAAACAAACAGACGGACTAGCAGTGGGAGCACCAACATCATCAATACTGGCAGAAACATACATACAACATATGGAGCACACACAAATATATCCCATCCTAATAAAGCACCAAATTAATTGCATATTTTAGATACGTTGATGACATATTAATAATATATGATCAAAATAAAACAAATATTGATCACACACTTAATGAATTCAACAAAGCACAACCAACTATAAATTTTACCATGGAGAAAGAAGAGCATCAGTCTACCAGTCTCCTAGATTTAGTAATGCATAGAAAAGACAAAAACCTTGAATTTGCAATATATCGGAAACCTACACAAACTGACATTATAATACCAAACAGTTCTTGCCACCCACATGAACACAAACGATCAGGCATAAACTATTTAATAAATTGAGTATACACATACCCAATAACGAGAAAAGCAAAAGACATAGAAATGAACACAATTCAAAATATATTATACAATAATGAGTATGACATAAAATTATCTAGCAACATACCCCCCCCCCAGAAGAAACAAAAACAAAACACACAGGAAAACTCACAGCAACAAAAAACAAAGTGGATATAGCCTTTACATATAGCGGAAAGGAAGTAAGAAAAATCACAAAACATTTTTGAGATACGAAAATAAAAGTAGCTTTCCGCACACAAAACACAATACAAAATATACTACAACCAAAACCACAAATGGATAAATATAATAAAAGTGAACTTTTCAAATGAAATGTTTAGATTGCCCATTAAAATATGTTGGACAAACAGGAAGAACATTCAAAACCAGATATAAAGAACTCATTCACGACATAAAAAAGTAGTAGTAATTCAGGATATTCAAGTCATATATTGAATACGGGACACCGGTAAGGCACAATAACAGACACTATGGAAACCATAACAATGGGGAAAAAAAGGAAAACATCTAAATACACTGGAGAAATACCATATTTACAAAACTAGTAAAGAAGATTCACATATGAATGACACAAACATTGAAACACATAACCCTATATTTGAAATACTATACAAAATTACACATCCAAACATTACAGCACCCACCCCATCTCTCCCCACTCCTCACAACCAGAACATATTGTAACGTGTTTCCGTTACTGAAGACACCGTAGAGATGGTTAATTGGTTTATTTAACAATCTACAAGTATCGGCTACGATTAATGATAGCAATGTTACGGGTTTCCACACTTTACAAACCCTACAATAAAATCTCTTAACACTACCTTCAAGAGTCTTCACGTATTAATAGCGCGGGAGCTATACAAATCTCTCTGAGTTACACACTCCAAATACACTCAGTTATCACGAACTATCACTGATTCTTGCACACATGTCTGTAACTCGTAACTTGCGAACTGAGAACTGTCGTCGGCGGCTGTGTAGCTCCCTTATAAACCCTCAGCACGGCAACAAGAAAACAACCACGTGGTAGGCATTACTGTTGCTACCGTCGTCTATCGCAACCACTGTTTATCCACGTTGCATAGCGACCAGTGTGCGCTGAGACTCAGCTCACTTCGGCTCCACTCGGCACGTCACCGCTGGCGGGGGGAGGGGAGGGAGGATGTTGACCCGCCTATTACCGTTGTAATGAGAGCGCTACGTTACCGGCACGTGCCGCTGGGGAGGTAGGGGTCCTCCGTTGTGCAACATGTCACAATATAAATACAGGAACAATTATACCGCATCAGCACTAGTGAAACACAAACCAGGAGAAAGTGAGTACAAAAACTAAACAAACACAACATAATAATAATACTAATGATAATAACAACAATAATAATAATAATAATAACAACAAATGAAAACAACATTAATATAGGAATTTATAAATTACAGATAACTAACGCGAGGACCAAGCTGCCAAGGAAAACATCTTATATTTTATGGAAATGACGACACCCTGAGTGAAGTAAAAGAATAAGTAACAAATTATAAAAGAATTTTATCTCATTTTAATTAAAAAGAAGACTACAGCGTGTGGTTTTTTAAAATGACTTAGAATAGTGAAACAGTGTAGCGGTTTTGACACAATCTTAATTGGATACCTGTGAAGAAAACAACTGAAGATGGGCGTTTGAGGTCAAAACACGTAGTGTTAGAGAGTGTACTGAAGTGTAAAATAAAGTGTTGCAATTTAGAGGGATTATAGACAAATGGACACTTAATTCTGAAGTGAGGGGCAGGAAGGTTCCTGAGCCCTGCCTAAGGGATTTATAAACTTCAAATACTGAATATTTCAAATGTTTCAGTAGCACCCTTCAGACATCTCATACAAAGAAAAACAGCCATTAATATTTTGTTGAACTGTTTAAGAATACTACATCTATATACCCTGTGAATGATGGTGTAGTTTCATCTGTGATACCAGAAGCAGTTCTGTGCAGTTACGCAGAACAGCAAACATGTCAGCTATAATGAAGCAATCTAACCATTGCTGGTATTTTATGGAATGTTTTTAGATTCCTTTGCACAGTCTTGGCACTCTTTAAGTGTCACTGGTCCATACTGACTCAGATATTGCACATATGAAATATGACTGGACTGGTAGCAAACTGAAAGATAACCAAATGGCAATCTCATGCTTGGATGCAGAGTACAAGGATATTAATATCAGAAATGTAAACAAGTGAAATATATTACAAATTTAGACATTAAAAGTGGGATGCGTCAGTCCACAGCATTACAAACTTCCTGTATTTGGTATGAAAGTACATGGACATATAGAATATTTTACAGTTGTGTGACATTTATTAAATGGGATTATACAATTATGGATATCTTGTATATTGTAGAAGAAAGGAATTATACACTTCTGATGTGTAGTAACAGGTTTACCACCTGAATTTTGTCATACAACAAATGGGAAGGGGAAAGTCAGAGACAATTTTACAATTATGTTATTGGATTTCATCAATGGGATAACTTCTGTAGTTTACATAAACCTCTGACAATCCTGTTCATGCCAGAAATAAGACACAATTTCCACCATTTACTGTCTCCATCCCACCTGACACTGATATAGGTAGCCATATGTACCAAGTCCTAATTCCTTGCAATCACTACAGTCTACCATTCGTGGAACAGGAAAACCAAAGATTTTCATTAATTTGCTTCTAAGACAACTCAAAGGGGAGAAAAAGAAGTGTTTTGCATTCACATACCAGGTCTACACAACATGGTGGAAGGTGTTAAAGCACCCCTGTGCCACTCTACCTACCACTTGACTAGAAGGGCAATTAGCTCACTACAGGTTGGCAAGAAGAAAGAGAGGCAAATCAGAGCTTGACTTTAGTTACCAAAGACTCCGAAAAAGTCTGATCAGCAAGACCATACAAATCTCTTGGAGTCATTTTTACTGCAGCCTCAATTCTTCAACCTCCCACACTAACAATTTTTTGTTTGGATCATTTGTCATGGTTGCCATATCCATGACTTCTCAGATAATTAGGGAAGGCTTATAAGGGGCTGGGAACATTCAAAATACATCAAGAATCTGTAAACAGAACTCTGAGGCAGTAAAGTACAAAAACCAAAGAAAAATTTATATAGCTTAACCTTCCGTCTTACTGTACAATTTAACAAGTACTCTGCAGACAAGACAAAGTTGTTATGATAGAAGACTATCATTATCCTCATGGAAAGGAAAACAAAATGGAACAGAAGGGTGAACTTGCCATGATTTGTTGTAAAGTTCCACAGATTCTGCTAGGTGAAGGTGGCTGATCATGTTATAATGTTGTTTCAACTGCTGAGGCTCTGTACCATCAAAACACAGAGTAGGATGACTGTGAATAATGAACTAGGAGACATGTGGGCCTATTTCAAAACACTACCCTGGTAATTTCTTGGGATATAAAATGGTTTAAACTCTGTAGTTTTTATTTCCAATTTTCATACAAAACATTTTGTAAAATTTTGCTCCTGTACTAAATTATAAGAAATAAACTGTGCTGAAGGAAGGGAGAAGTATTGATTTTATCCATAAAATTTATTTCCAAGCCATCACAACCTTTTTATGACGGCAAGTTTCAATTCTTACTGATGACTGACATATATATTCAATTTTAGAATGGTGTTCATATATACATCCAGTCAGTTTGATAGATCAAATAATCCTTATTCTCATGAATGCTCTGACTAATCCTCTCTTTCCCTTCCAACAATGCTGCCAACGTCTGCCTGCAGTTACTGTTCATTTTCTCCCTGTAAAAAAAGGATAAAAATAAATTCCCCTTTGCCCTCTTCTAATCTTATTCTACTGCAACATCTGTATGTTCACACACTCACACATAAAAGCACAGAAAATATGAAATATGTGTATTAAAACACACACCAATTACAGTCTCAGGTACTGCTGAATTTGGAGGGAGAGGAATCAATAAAACAATCGTGACATATGTGGCAAACACTCCCTTTTAGGTTATTTCATTATGATTTTCAGCTGCACTGGTTATGTACTGCTGAATGATAGGCTGATTAAATTATGAATTGGACTGGGTGTGAATGGAAGCAGTGATGTGCGTTTTGAATGTACTAACCAGGCATCTGTATGATGGGCTGTGAATAACCACAACAACTTAAGTCAGGACAGCATGCCTTAGGCTAAGAAATTTATTTATGGTTCATTTTATAATATTTTAAATAGCTCAGATTACATAGCACTGAATGATCAGATGATTATTAGCAACAGCAAATTGGAAAGGATGTGGAAGGAAACAGTCCTGGCCTGATTCTAAGGTTTTATCCTGACACCTGCCTGGCAGAAATATAAAAAAAAAAACACAGAACACCTTAGTCAGAATAGCCGATTTCCAGGCTGAGGCATGAGGCTGGGAACCTGCAAATACAAAGCAGGAGTGCTAACCACTGTACTACCATATTTTGTCTGCTAAGAATAAAAACCAGGTCTCCCTGCATATGAAAGAGTGATAACCATTTGATGGCTATGTCTGTCCAAAAAAGAAGAGATGGGGAGTACAGAATAAATGAGGAGTGAGGAAGAGAATGGAGCTTATAAAACGGCAGAAGAAATATAAGACCAAGGGAGAACTGATGTATAAAATGGATTACCAACAGCATAACACCTTTGTTTTAAAATAAATAAATTCCACTACAAATAGTAATAGTATATGCAGGGTCATTATTTTATTTCCATAGGATGTCATGAAATTTGTGCTCCAAACACAAAGGAAAAAGTACTGTAAATATCACCATTCATAAGACAGCAGTTCTCAAGCCATAGGCATACACAATTTTAAATAATATTTTAGTGCAAGTGTTTCAAAAAGGAAGTTGTCACTGGACATGCAAACAAGCAGTGAAGTGCTCGTAACTGGACAAGTGCTTTTTAAGGTTCTGAAAGACCAGAACCAGTATAGTCACTATGTAATTTACACCCCAAAATGACATTTTTTTTAGACTTTGTTTTATACAACTAAACATTCAGGGATGAGTAGAATAATGGTTAGTCTGAATTCACACCCAAGTCACTGTTGAAGAATTTTATAATTTCACAATTATCAGAGCACAGTGAAACAAGACACAGATATTTATATAAAATTTGTTCTTCTGAGCAAAACAATTTGATGAGGCGATGTAGTAAGTAAGGGCAAACTGACTGGATATTTAATAAGATTGGACACAACCTTATGAAACTACTATTGCTTGTACAGACCATAGGGCAGGTTCTGAGAGCATGCAACTGATCATAGGACAATTGCAATTCAAACAACAGTGTGAGAATCAGCACTTCCCCACTAGAAAACTGCACCACAGCAGAGCAGTGTTCTGTAATAAGATTTTTGTGGTCAGGAGTGAAACCGCTGGAGATTCACAGAAGAATGATTCAGCAGTATGGTAAAGCTGTACGAGTGAAAGTAAAGTGTACCAGTGGGTAAAAAGATTTCAAGAAAGCCAAACATCTATCATTGATGAACATCACTCAGGTAGCCTGTGCACAGCTGTCAGTAATGCCAACGCTGCTTGTGTGGACGCACTTACTGGTGAGAACAGGTAGATTTCTGTGGACACTACTGCCACTATGTTGGGCATTAGTGGTGGATCTGCACATGGCATCATCCATGAGACTCTCAAATATCGCTGTGTTCCAGTTGGGTACAGAGAAAGTTGACCAATGAACACAAGTTGAAGTGTGTGCTGAGTTGCAGAGCTTTCTTGACACCTTGCCATGCTGAGAGTGAAGAATGTCTTGCAGCACCACATCATGGGGGATGAAACCTGGATTCATTATTATGAACCAGAATCCAAAACACAATCCATGCAATGGCAACACACATCTTTTCCTGTCAAGAAAAAGTCGGCATCCTCTGCTGGAAAACTTATTCTGACATTGTTTTCTGGGATATGAATGGACCAATTCTTGAACACTATCAGGAGAAAGGAGAGCTGACAACAGTGTAAGGTACAGCACGATGCCGGTAGAGAAACTGAAGCCTGCAATTTGCAGTCATCACAGACTTCTACCCAAAGGTGTCCTCCTCCAGGACAATGCACGACTGTATGCTGCTGCAACAGTTATCACCATCCAGAAACTGAAAACCGAGACCATAAATCATCCCCCTTACAGTCCAGACCTCACTCCATCTGACTAGCATGTGTTTGGCATGCTTAAAGAAGCATTATGAGAACAAAGATTTCACAGCGATGACGAGGTGAAGGATACGGTATATTTCTGGCTTTAACAACACGCAAACACTCTTTTTTTCTGCTGGGATACAGATGCTCGTCAGAAGATGTGAAAAGTAGAGCAAAGAATGGTGACTATGTGCAAAATACCTTATTTGGATCTGTATATTCAATGTGCATCTCAATATAACACAATTTTCTTTTGCTTACCGAGGTCCCTACGTATGTTTTAACCCGTTGCCGTGGTTTGACGTGTATGTTTTGTCAGGTATTTAAATCGTCTGGGGGCGTTCGACGTGTATGTTTCGTCCAGCTGCACACCTATGTTATAACACCCATAATAATTGATGGTTTTGCTGTAGATTGTTAGATTTTTTGCTGGCATGTTGTCAGTAGTACAGAGTATAATATGACATGTCTTTATCTGCGCTAAGTCATTGTTACATATGCCTGTCTTGCAGCAAAGTTCCTGTGGCTCTTGCTAGCGGTTTCACCGTAATGAATGTCGTGTTTCCTTTGCTACGAAGTTATAAACAGCAGAGACGTGATGTGATGTGTTTATAATATCATATTGCCCTGAGCTGGCCACAACTAACACACTCAATTGGAATTCTTAGAATAGGGATGTCCAAAAAATTTATTCTCGCATGATCCATTGATTTCGCACAGTACAAAGGCCCAGTTCTTAGAAAAACGCCACAATTTAAGGCAGAACACTGTGGTCACCCCCTGAGACGATACGGATGTGTGTGGGGGAGGGAAAAGAACTCATTCCTTCATGTATTATCGCTCCAGTTGACGCCATTTTATCGTACTGACCTTGGTGGTCGTTTCGAGGGATGACCATAAATATTTTTTTTG